CTGCCATAGAGGTTTAAGGGGCCTTTTGCCCCCTTAACTTATTTTTGCCATCTTAGACAGGATTAAGCAAAGATAACTACTACAGTTCAGGCTACAGCCCTTTCACTTGTTTCTCCAGGCATTATAAACCCTGTGATAGTTAGGCTTATTGTGCCAACCTAGCCAATGAACTTATGTGGGATTAACTGAAGGATGGAGAGATAAATGGCCCCGTGAGTCTCTTCTTTCTCGTCTCTTTTTTGCTGATGGTCAGACCAGTGTGCGGCTGCCTTAGCTAGTTCTCTGCCTCAGCTGGCAAGGCTTACTTCCTGTGAGACATCCCTGCGGAGAAGCCACATGGACCTACCTGATGCAGCCCTGGGCGCTGGAGCAGCCGCGTGGAGATCCCTGCCAGTGCTGACAGGCTTACATGCTCACTGATTCAGCTTTCCTCCTGCATTCAGCATCATTGCATGTGTTTTGTGAGATTGAGGAGGACTTTGTAGATCTGTGTGGGACATATGGGCTAATGTCAGACTTATGGCTTGGACTGGACTGGGTTGGGATGCTTTCTTAATGTACACTTACGCTTATATAAAACTCTCTTATACATATATGAGTTTCTGTGGATTTGTTTTCTCTAGTTTACCCAGGCTAACACAATCCCTTTGAGCAATTTCTATTAATTCTGATTTAAAAAATTATTTTAATTCAATTCTATTTCCTTTTGTGTCTCCTTCCACTCCCCATCCAGCACCCTTTGGGGCCCAACACAGCTTTTAGGGCCTTGTGGCGGATATGGCTGTGGAAAAGCACAACAATTGCCCCAATCCCAATTATGTGGACACCTGCCCCTCCCCCCAGAAGAATTTATTTCAGAGGACAGCACTGAATCTGCAGCTCCGGGAGAGGGACATGTCTGATCAGGGCACATGGGAGCAAATGAAGCGGGAGGAAGAGTGGAGCACATCCTGGCCCACCAAGCCTTGATGATATTCCCGCTCAGAGCAGCCAATCCACAGAGAAGGCTACATGACGGGCCCCACTATGAGACA